GCACGAAAAAAAAAACAACAAACAAGTTCAGGTGGTTTTGTGAAATTAACCCTATAATCAACATATGCTATCCTACTACCATGAATATTTCACATTATCTCTAAATTAATATGTGAACCTTGTAATGTCGAAAGTAGCAAGGATCTTCCTACTTGAAACTTTTAATATCTGTGAATGTCAATCAAAGAAAAGTAATTTGCATATGTGATTTAGCATGGTGTTAAGGCTTAGTGAATATTAACTCAGATCAATTTATCTACCTATTCAAATTCAGTTTCTTTAGAATTTGGTCGTCGTTAGAATTAATTATAGAGTTCATGAAGTGAGGAGCATGGTGTCTATAATTGAACTAAGAAGAGTTCTTAGAAATTAAAATGGTAAATCCCATTATTTTTTAATATACCCTTTCAGAAATAAAAGTTGCTTTGGAAGAACAGACTTTTTTTTGCATTTTTTCATCACTTTTTTTGCATTTTCGTGTGCCAGGGAAAAAACTACATGATTTATTGTAGTATGTAGTGTTTTACGTCTGGAGTACTGACTACTGAGTTTACCAGATAGTGGACATGATAATTAATGTATAGTAAAATGAGAAAGTGTAGATGCTGTCAATGCTAATATTTTAGTAAAATAGTAATTTGAAGTTTTTTGTCACTGAGTTCACTTGCTGCTTTTCGCTTAGCTTTCAAAATACTCAATGTGTCTAATAAAGACTTATATGGTGACGACATCCTCAATAGTCTTAGGAAATGATGCTTGGTGTAATTTATCTACTATAAAGGTCATTTTTTTTGTAAAGCATACGTGTATATGACTAATGTTGGCGATAATTATGTTCATAATGATTTCTAGTACTGCTCTAGTTGCCTTTTTTTTTTGGTAAGCAACCCATTGTTTTGTTTCATAATATGGCAGATGAGGTGGCAGCACACATGGGACCAAGTAATGCTGTGAACCATCCAGTTTGGATGCAGAAATCTTCGGCAGATGGGCGTTTGAATTTTGGTGATCAGCATCTTGAGGAAGAGGCTCTTCTTTCGTACGGTTGCAAAAATAAAAATGTCTGACTTAATGTAATCGAGTAGCTGCATCATCAAAGACCAAAAAGTGAAACAATGGAAGCATGTGGGTTAATTTATAGTCTTTGTGCTAAATACTGTTGAAGGTCTGTTGAAGGCATTCCTTCACCCTGGGTGCCAAATTAAAATGTTTGACTTGTGTAATTAGGGAGCTGCAACATTTTTATGCTAAATATTGGTAAAGTCCTGTTGTGGGATACTTTTTCTCAACTGTGCTTGTAGTGTTGTGGGAAATGCTTTGGGAGTGATCAAGTCTATCACTGTTGAAAATCTAGCATAAGCTAGGTTCATATGGAGGAATTCCCTACAGGAACTGTCATTTATAGAATTTCTCAGACTGTATGCTATTCGCAACTGATAAGTACTGGAAGTTGGATGTTCCTAAGTTGTCCTTTGTTTAAGGGTCTATTTTAAACTGAGTAAATCTTCGCTAAGTTTTTGGGTGTTTTATAGATAATCTATCTCTACTTAAAAATTTTGATTTAACCCATGTGGACTTTTCTCATTTAAATCTAACCTTTCAAAACTAATATCATTAAGTTTTATCTACTATGTGACGAGTATTTCAGTTGGAAAGACCAAAACATTAATCAATCATAAAAGAATTACCTTGGTTTTTGCCATATGAAAAAAAAGGTGATATAGAGGGAAAAAAATTGTAAGTTAGTTGTGATCCTTTTATTATTTGTTAATGATTTCTTTTTTATTAAAATCACTTTCGTCACGAGGGTATTTTGTTCAAATCACAAATTAAAGTAACTATGTTAAGGAGGTTTGTTGATAGAAGTGTAAAAGATTAGGGGAGTTTTTATGAGACACATTATAGTTGAGAGGTGTTTTCTAAAATTGCACCAAAAGAATAAGGGAGTTTTATCAAACTAAATCAATTGAGTGGGGTTTTTAAGACAATCCCCATAGTTGGGAGGGTTTTTAAAAAATTAACTCTTTTTTTTTAATATGGCTTTTTATAAATTGTCCCTCAAATTTTTAATAATTTAATATTAGTCCCTAAAATTATAAGCAATTTCAAAATTTTGAGGGAATAACATAGAATCAGTGGATATTTAAAATCAAGGAACTAATATCTAAATAACCTTTACATATTTGCTCTTATAAGTATTCTATTAAATATCGGCTAATATATTGCTATATTGACCAATATATCGGTGTTAAAGACTTTATCTCGGTAATATTTTATGTTGTTTTCTTCTGTTTGGTGATTTGTTTGATATATCAACCATTATTGAAAATATGACCGATATATCCCTTTGAAGATATTGAGAAAATCATGTCATTTTTAATTTGATTGTGGGCTTAGGTTCGTATTGTGTTTGGGAAACAAAATCAGAATCCACAAAACCCACAAAGGCCACTGTTTTTCTCCCAAATCTCTCAACTCTCGGCTCTCCCAAATCTTAAGCATATATCTTGACGCAAATTCTTATATTTAAAATTTATTAATATGTTAGATTATATATTACAATGTCAAGTTATGTATGAATATTATCTTGTATGACACCCAGTATTACATACATGTCTCTAATTTTTGCAATCCAATATCATGGAATTTATTTATTCAATATTTATTTGATGTCCAACACTTTGTAGTAGTCCATCAAAAGCCTCTTCTAAAGTTTTCTAATCGAAGTATATACTTTCAGGAAATAATTTAAAATCTTGAGACTCATTCAAAATATGATGCTTTAATTTTTTCACATCTCCTCTACTATATAAATATAAACTAAGCATCTGGCCTCATATTGTATGATAAATATTATTTATCAATGGGATCATATACTATTGTTCGTGGATAACAAAGGTTTTAAATCTTTTATAGGCTTAACTGAACTTAAATACCTTATAGTTTACCAAAATTATACTTATATACCTCCACTTGTATCTTACTGCACTTTTTTTAAATTTTAGATAATGTATCTTGCTGCACTTAACTATCCTAATATTTTCTAAATTTTAATATTTGTTGCTTTTGTCCTGTTACCTTAACATAAAAATGCTCTTTGTAATTTTCGTATATGAGTTTCATGTATAATTTTAGGATAATTCTATGTTTTCTACTCTTTCTATAAATATTTTATAGCCGTGCAATTATCTATCAATATATTATTAGACTTTACTAATAATTAATATGATGTATAGTTTTACAATAACGTTGGAAGTTTTAGGGATCAAATTATACAAACTTAAAGTGACATATAATATAATTAATGCGATGTATAGTTTTAGGCTCTTTTTGTGTATACTAGTTGAGATGCACGTACAATGCACGCGGGTGAATATCACAATTATTTAAATTGATAAAAATAGAGTACAAATAAAAGAAAATAAAGTTTTTTTTGGGATTGATCATCAACTCAATAATCTCTCTCTCAAATAAAATATTATCATTGTCTCCTTCAATCCAGACTGTAGCCACGTGATCTACTATTTGTGAGTTATAAACACATTAATCTAGTACAATATCTTTATTTATTAGTATCTTAAAGTCTTCAAAAGATGGGTGATCATTCAATTCACAAAGAAATTTTGCATATGAATTTACTTGTAATATGTCCATTAAACTCTTAGTTGTGGTTTGATTCATATTCACGTTAACTTTTAGTTGATGTTTCACACATACTTATATTATCTAATATTCTTATTCAATTGTGTAGCTCATTCTCTATATCATAAAAGTAAAACTGAAAGTATGAATAATTATTTTCTTACAAAATTAGAGCAGGGAGATTATGATATATTTTGCAATGTGCTCTAAATATAAAAATCTTTTTACTTTGATGCAAGGTCCTTATCAAATCTTACCCCAAATGATGTGAATAAAAAATACTATTATAACTCACTTGCCTAGGGCAATTGTATTGTATATAGGATACATAACTCATTTGGAATATCCATATCGTTTAAGTGGATTTTGATGTTGTGAGAGCAACATGTTAGATTCAAACATTTTGGCTCTATAAAAGACACAAGAATTTAGAGTGCATAGCTCATATATCATAAATAACATATCGATTCATAAATAATTTTGTCTAATAATGATATTATTACAATGATATTACTATTTAATATTAAATTAATTTTATTATATAAGATTGTATGACCTTTTTTAATAAATTATAAAGTACATATATGGAAACCTTAATGTTTATAGCCAGTGGTTGGGCTCCACAAATTTAGGTTAACTTTACATTATAGTTTGCTATTTGTAGTACTATTGGCAATGACATTACCTTTCCTCTTTATCTTGTTATTCACGCTTTTCTGATATAAGTTCTTTTTTGCTAATCATTCAATTGACTATATTTAGTTTTTATAATATCAGAGGTTGGAATATTCTCTTCTATTTAAAAAGTGTTGACATGATTTTCTTAAAAAATATATACACATAGTAGAAATAGTATATGATTCACTGCAATTCAAACATTAACTTGCAGCCTATTTAGAGTGAGGTTCTTTCTATGCTAGAATGGTGATATAGTGATTACACAGTCTAAAAGTCAAGGAAGAAATTTCTACAAAGGAAAAATAATTTAATATGTCAAATTAAGAACTAATTTATAAAATATACATGAGCAGTGAAGATAGCTATAGAAAGTATGGTATATATCTTCATAAAAATTCCATAGTGAGTGACCAACTACAATCATCTTAATTTAAGCATAAATAATTATTATTTTAGTTACTAATTTGATACGCATGACTATGGAATAAATCTCCAGTAAAAAATAGGAATTAAGATTGTATTATGTTGTAAGTAAATAAATAGATGTTATTAGAGATCCTCTTTATATTAAATTTAAAAGTAATAATTTAAATTATTAAGCACTAAATATTAGCTCATATGAGAAAGTAAGTAAGTAATAATTTAAATTATTAAGCACCAAATATTAGCTCATATGAGAAAGTAAGTAATCTATGGTCTATATATGTATATAGTCAATCAATCAAACGTATTAAAATTGTGATGACCACAATCAAAATTATATGATGGGTTCACATTAAATATAATTTGTAAAAAATAGTACATTAAATTTAAAATCTTTTTAACCATTATATAAGTTATCTGAAATTTTTACATATGTAAACTATACTGCCTAAGAATAGTGATGTGCACACTTAACTATGGTCTAATAATCTTAAGAACGACTTATTCTTCAATATCATTATTAATTATGTATATGTGCATTATATTAAAAACACAATGAAAATTTAGAAAACTACAAAATAAACACCCTCAAAAATTTTAAAAAGTGTAAAAAACACCTTAAAAATTGTAATTTACAAATTCACAAAACTATTAAACATCACATTGAAATCAATAAATTACAAAAAACCATTGAAAATTTTCAAACTTTGGAGGGGTAATTTGCAATGTACTATACTTTAAGGGTGCCTTTTTGTAAATTTTAAATTCAATAGATTTTAAATTAGTTATGTTTTTTAAAAAGGTATGGGTAATATTTACCATGAAAAGTTTTTTCTAAACCTATACTTTTAAAAGGTGTATGATATTTTTTACAAAATTTTAATTTTCTAAGGGTTATTAGTAATTTTGCATATTCATTTTAGTGTCTATATGTTAAAAATTCTCATGGTGTTTTTTGTAAATTATGAATTTTAAGGACTTTTTGTAATTTTTTAAACTTATAGGCATTTTCTACAGATTGTAAATTGTTTATAGATTATTTATAATTCCTATGCTTTAATTTAAAAATAAATTTGAAATTTTTAGGTGTTTTTTGTAAATTTTGAATTTTTAATGTTTGTTTGTAATTATTAAAACTTTAAAGGTGTTTTCTATAAATTGTAAATTATGCAGGGGATATTTATAATTCTTATATTTTTAATGTATTGTTAGGTCAGAAATTATCAGGATTTTTATAAATTTTAAAATTTTGAGGGTTTTATGTTGTAATTTGTAAAAAGCTCAGAGTTCAAAGTGTGTATTGCAAATTCCATAAATTTTTAGGGGTTGTTTGTTTTATTTTTAGGTTTTTAGTATGTTTATAGGTTTGAAAATTTCAAGGTATTTTTTATAAATTTTGAATTTTTAGGGGTGTTTTTATAAATTTAAAAGTTACAAGATATTTTTTCCAAAGTAAAAAAAAAATTTTAGTTTTTAGTTAGCATATGTTTTTCAGATTTCTCATTGAATTGAGATAAGTAAAATTTATAATTTTCAAGATGCTTTA